GGGGGGATCAAGGATCACAGATATCCTATTTATTAATTTGGCTAGGGCCTAAATGCTTAGTTCTTCTTTGGAATGTGAAATGAAAACTGTCACAGAGAGTTTATACAGGTTCAGGCCGCGCTGAGGCGTAATACCCTACTTCCTGTTTGTGGTTGGTTGATGCTGGCAATATGGTGAAAGTTACATATGCTCGGACGAGCTGCGGGTATGCTCGGGGGAGCTTTGAGTATCCTCGGGAGAACTGTTGGGTATACTCGGGATTTTCGGAGTGGTCTATGCTACGCTCCCGAGTATCCTTCTGCTGCTACCTTATGCTTCCTACTCTTGATTGAGCTACATTGTTCCTTGTGTGATTCTTGTCTCCGGTTCCTATTCTCCCTCTGGATGGCCGCGGTCTTCCCCTTGTAAAGGGCTAGGGGGCACCATAGTGGCCATCTTACATTTGTGTGAACATGCGTGGGTCGAAGCCCACGTGGTCTCTTTGACTAATTGAGTTGATGTCATGCAGCTTAGCGCCTACCTGGCGCAAGCACCAGGCATACGAGTGCCTTCTGCCATCATTTGTTCTCCATGGGCCCCTCTTGCCAGTGTCCCAATAATCGCACGCTCCCTACGAGTTAAAAGGGTTATCTTGCGATGTCGTAGGTCCTAGTTGATATGTCACACATCTTATCGCTCGGGAGAGCGCTCCCTTAGCCAGGTGTTATTATTTACCGCCTATCAACCGTAGGCCTGCGGCGGGCTACAGGATTGTCGCTTCATTAAATGCGCTGTCGGAGGCAGCGAGCACGACACATCCTTGCCGTGCTGGTTAGGTAAGGATACCGCAAGATCATCACTGATGGCGTCTCACTTCTCAAAATGTAGGATTATTTAAAGATACCATTATTTCCACTAAGTTGGTTAGCCCATCTGACACATTTTCACTGAAGATGCTTATTGTTGCCTAGCCTGATTGTTGCTGGTCTTGATACCCTGACGCACCCTCAGCCGGTCCACGTGGCATGCTCGGGGTACCCGGATTCTCATGATATCGACAGTAACCCCCGACCCTTTCATCTACTTGGTGACCTTTTGGGCAAGGAGGTACCTGCTAATGGGGAGGGCCTAATCAGTACTGGGCCCGCGTGCGGAAGCAATCCCGTGGAGGCGCCAATGCTGATGAGACTCGAGGAGGCGCCTTGGTTTTTGCCCGATTGATGGTGTTGACGTGTGCACGACGAGCTTGGGAAAGGGGGACACACAGTCTCCTTCAAGGAGCCTCCAACACTCCGCCCTCAAGCTATAAATGGGGCACACGAGGATGAAGGGTTTTTCATCGTCCCTACATACTCGTGCTCGGCGAGGAGTCCTAGACCAAGAAAATGGTCGCTCGCCACCCGGACGCCTGACACACTTCTTTCTTCGCCTCCCACTACTCATCTCTAGCAGCTCCGTTGTCTCAACCACTGGTGTTTCTGGGCCACATCGTCTCCACGTCGGTGGTGAGCGTGCCCCTCCTCGCCACCCGCTAGTCTCCTTCCCGCGTTGTGCTCTGCCTAGACGCTGAGGGGCCGCACTCCCTCGGAGCTGCAACCTTTGGTTATGCCGTCCTCTTGGTGCCAGTGGCACCTGGGGAGCTTCTCTCGTTTTGTTTGACGACTCTTGGGGAGGCAAGGGTGGCACGGACGACTCTTTTAGGAAAGCCTCGATCTCGGTAGTCCAAGATGCCTCTTGAATGACAAGAACGTGTTGCCCATTGGGTGGAGTTTTTTGGACCGTCGATAAACGTGGCCCTTGAGGTTCCCTTCTTGAAACAGGATGTGCTTCTTCGCATGGGTCGACAATGGGACTGGATGGCTTCATTAGCTTTTCTCCGAAGACCCCGACGGCAACAGACCTCCGCTGTAAGGCCAGCCGGGATAATCATCGGCGAGCATGTTGAGCCCACGTTTCACATGCTCAAATTGCAAACAGGTGAACCGTCGCTCCATCTTTTGGACCTCAGTGAGGTATGGCGCCATCTGGGGATCGAGGCTCTGATACTCTTTGTTCACCTACTTGATGACTAGCTAGGAGTCTCCTCTCACAACGAGGTGCTGGATCCCAAGGGCCGTCGCTGCTCGGAGACCTGTGAGCAATCCCTTGTACTCCGACATGTTCGAGCCGTTGTTGAAGAGGAGTTGCACGACATAATGAAGCTCATCGCCAGCCGGGAAGATGAGGAGGGCTCGAGCCCCCGCACCCTTGAGCGAGAACGACCCGTCGAAGTACAAGATCCACTCCCTGGGGTTCCCTTAAGCCGTGGCGGCGAATTATCCCTCTTCTAGGGGCACATGGGCCCATTATGCCACGAAGTCAAGCAAGGCTCAGCTCTTGATGACTTGAGTGATCACGAATTGAAGGTCGAACTCAGCGAGCTCAACGGCCCATTCGGCAATTCGTCACATTGCTTCTCTGTTGTTGATGATGGGGCTTTTAGGGGAAACAAAGTAACCACTGCAATGTCATGGTGAAGGTGCAATCGTGCCCCTAATCATATTTTGACGTTGACGACAATATACATATAGGGGACTAATTATGTTTGCTAAGTCTATACACAGGAGATTAGTCTCTTTGGCATCATTGTGCAGGAATCATTGACCTATCAATTTATATATGACTCAAGCTTGGTGACGAGAAAAGAAGCATAGCATTTTTCAGTTAGTCTTGAGTTATAGGGATCCCGCTCTATTAAGAGGGGATCAAAGGGTCCGTTGAAGATTTGCTCAAGTCAACATCTTTTCATGGCCATCCTACACTTAATGACATACACAACCCTAAAAATAACTTAGCCAAAATCCTACCTTCAAAATGACCTACCTCTATGTTAACAACCGGATCATCCGGGCATTGCGCGGACCATCCAGATAGTGTCTCGGGTATCTGGCTAGAGTGGCAGAAGACACTCGTATGTAGGCTCTGGGGTTGGATCATCCAGATACTTGCCCGGATCTTCCGGTTGTTGCCCGGATGCTCTGCCCAGACGTCGTTGCGGAGAGTGTCGCGTCCGAGCTGGCCCGGATGTTCCGGACTCTGTGCCGAATGTTCGGCCAGCCCGTGTTCCCCATGCGATTGTTTTGCAATGCCGGATGTTCCAGGCCCCTTCCAGGATGTTCGGGCTGTAAGCTTGTTGCTCAACCTTTGACCCAACCAGACTGTCTAGATATCTACTCGGGTCATTTGTGCGTTCCCCGGATCGTTCGGGTTCCTATTCGGACGTCTGGGTACTTGAAATACATAGCTCAAATGACTCTTTTCAGTGGAGCTATACATACCCTTCTCCCACTCCGGGATAGGGTTGACCACTACACTTATATTCATTTGCAAGCCACAAGTGCCCCCTCTCACCCCCTTCCACACTCAATCTTAGATCCCGGGAAGATTTGTGAGAGTTCTTGAGAGAAAATCCACCAAGTGATGGATCCACCCCCTCTTTCGACCAAAAGCAAATCGTGATTTGAGCAAGTCTTGAGCATTTACCCCTTGATCTTGTACTGTTCGAGGTTGTAGACTCCTGGTGGTAGGAGTTCTTCGGAGAGGAATCAGCTGTTGTGATTAACCTCGAAAAGTTTGTGAAGATTTGGAGGCCGCCTCAAGGTCTACCACTAGTGGTTGAGAATCGCCTTCGTGGTGATATCTCAAGGAGAATAGGGTGAGTCTTCGTGGTAACACCCGACCCTCCAACGGTGACTAGCTTCCCTCCAAGGAAGTGGACGCCGGGATACATCCTTGTCTCTGGAGTTTTGGTTATCGCTAACCCTAACTCCTTACTTGTGGTTATTTGTCTCCTTTTTTGTTTGAACACATTTGTCTCCTTGTCTTTACATAATATCATATTGTGCTTGCTTGTCTCTCTACTAGTTATTGTTGAGTAATTTGCTAGCACTAGAATTACCTTTACAATGTGTTAGGTTCACTTTCATATTCCGCATATTTGCCTAAAATTGCCAAGTAATAATTTAAAATTGTAATTGTACCTATTCACCCCTTTCTAGGTCCATCTTGATCCTTTCACATGGGACCGAAATAAATGTCGCAGCTTCCTTGAGGCGATCAAAACCGCATGAATCTTCTTCTACGGCTGCAGATATTGTGTCCCGGCGCCGTGTAATACTTCACTGATAAAGTACACAGGGCGCTAGACCCGACGTTTCCGCACTCAGCCCGGTCCTCCTGCTCGGGACCCGACGATGGCTCACCCCGGGGATGTACTCTTCCTCTCTTTCCCCATGAGCATCGCGTTGAGCACTTGTGGTGTAGCCGAAAGACACAACAACAATGGTTCCCTGGGCTTAGGGGCCACTAAGATCGATGGCAAGGTGAGATACTGCTTGCTTCCTCACGTGCTCGGCTTTAGGCATCCACCGGAAGGGTCCTGACCGCTTGAGGAGTCAGGTGCTAGACATCCTTGAGCCGCGCCGGGTTCACCTCGATTCTGCGATTTGACACCCGGAATCCGGGGTGCTTTCTGGACGGCACTCGAAAACACATTTTTGGGGATTGAGCTTCATGCGCATTCGGTGCAGATTGTCGAAAGTTTATGCTAGGTCATCCAGGAGGGTTGACTTGTCTCTGGTTTCCACGACGAGATCATTGATGTCCACCGCGATCTTCCGGCTCACTTGCGAGCCTAATGCGAAGCGCATTGCTCACTCGTAAGTGGGGCCGGCGTTTTCAGGCCGAAGGGCATGCATATGTAGTAGAAAGTTCCGATAGGCGTTATGAAT